AAGCATGTTATGATCATTTCGGCATATTCCTCAGGCACAGTTCCCAAGCCTGGCTGCCGGCACAATGTGTCCCCAGGAATGTTCTAGGATTGCAGACTTCTGGACCCCGCCCCAGGCCCACGGAGACAGAATGTCAGGAGCAGAGGGCTCCGGGAACCTACAAGGAGCACCCCAAGGCTCTGAGGCAACCGGCTATGCAAGGCCTTGTCCTCCAAGCGCTAGCCTCTGCAGGGGCTTCTCTATCCGTCCTTGGCTGAGTTGGAAATGACAGTTCTGTGCACAGGCTTGCTGGACTTCAGGCTCAGGGCAGAACCCCAAGAGGGCTTGTCATGGGATGCCAGAGGGGTCCCTGATTCAGGGACATTCCTTCCCTGTGGCCCCAAGGATTTTTTTTTTTTAATGTGTGATGCGAGTATCTATTATCTTTGCCCACCATTCAGCCCCTCTTTTAATATCTGCCCCATCTGAGGCTGGGTCCTCCCAGCAGCAGAACCTGAAACAAGGATGTGAGTGCAAGTAGAGTATTTGGTAGGTGACCCCAAGAATCCCTGGATGAGGGGAGAAGGGAAGGCAGCCTGTGCACTAGTGAGCAGCTCCCTACCTTGGACAGCCAGGCTCATGGCTGGGGCTTCTAGGAAAGGGGGAGCTGGTGTGTTTATGATAAATCCTCATTTATCATGGGTTGAAGGCTGCTCCTGGGGTTAATTGGCATTTCCTGCCTGCTCTACGAGGGCCACAAGCTTTTGTCAAGTTGCTTTGGGGCACTACCTCTTCCCCATTCTCCATCCTTGTAGTTTGGCTGGCACTCCCCACCTGCAAGTCCAGATGGCAGCGAATGGTTGAGACAGGTCTATGTCCCAGTTGGCCAGTCAGAGTTCACCCTGGAACTTCTGCAGGGACCTGGGGGAGGGGAGGGATGACTCCACTGGGATTACCCAGCTTCCAGGATATGGGCCATGTGGAGGAGGAGAGCAAAGCCAACATGGAGAATCGAACCAGGAAAGAAGGGGGATATTTGAGCCCCTAGATCCAGCTATACCTGAAGCCAGTGTCATTCTTGGAGTTCCCAATTATGTGGACCCATAAATCCCCATTTTTGCCTGAGGCGGATTGTATTAGATTTTGGAGTCTGACATTCCTGATGTGTCATTCCAGGAGAGGCATGTTTTGAGCTGGGGCATTTGTAGAATTTACATGGGACGTGGAGCAAGAGGCAGAAAATGTCTGAGATTCCAATGCCAACCTTTAGTGGTGCAGGGACACATGTGACATAAACATACAAAGAGCTAAAGTCATGAAGCTTCAGGGTTGTGAGCTGGGGATTAACATGGTCTAGTTAGGGCAATGCAAGGCCCCTCCCCATCTCATGGTAGTGATGGTCAGACTTGAAATGTTGGGAGTCTTGTGTGGGCAGTTACCAAGGTGACACATAGCTCAGCTGGGATTCTCTTTATAAAACTTTAGCATCAGAAAAGACTCCAGAAAAAAAGCTTCAATTCCAGAACCAAAGGGTGGGCAATGGAAAGAATTCAAGTGCAATGCCACAGCTTTGAACAGATTCTCAAAGGGGTCTGTGTCTCAGAAAAATCTGAGCTCCAGAAAACTCTTAAGTCAGAGGTTTTAAATTGTGCTTTCTGGGGACCTCCATTCCTCAGAAATGCCTTGTGTGTGAAGAGGCACTGAAGGGAGGGGGGGAAAGGGGCTGGGAGAACTCTAAAAGCCACAGCTGCCTCTGCCGTCCCTGAGGGCCACCCAGCACCTTCCTCTGGCTCTTCCCAGCTCCTTCCAGGCCCTGCCCCAATCTCCCACACCAGTGCCCTGAGACCCCTCCACAGAGGCCTTGGAGGTCTGGCCTTGTAGGAAGAATTGGTCCCAGAGGCCGTCTCTGGGCCACAGGGAGCCCCGGCATGCTCTGTTCTCTCCACACCCAAATCCCAGCGGACTTCTGGGAGGCAATCCTGTGGAAACAGGTCAGCGGAGACCAGCTCACCTGCTCCAGGGAACCCTGTCTTTCTCAACACCAGCCACACCCCTGAGTCAGCTGGCTGAACCACTCTACAGCAGCAACCCACAGGTTAAGAACCACTAGCAGGGTCGCCTAAGACCATAGGAAAACACAGATATTTACATTAAGATTCATAACAGTAGCAACATTACAGTTATGAAGTAGCAACAAAAATAATTTTATGGTTGGGGGTCACCACAACATGAGGAACCGTATTAAAGGGTCGTGGCATTAGAAAGGTTGAGAACCACTGCTCTAGAGTCTTAGGAACAACAGCTGGGCAATTCTTGAGCAAGCCCAGGGAAACATCCAGGGTTTTAGGAAGTAGACAGCAGAGGTATGTCCAAATCTATTGTAAAACATTTAATCCTTCCGGTTGGAGCAAATATCAGGCCCACAAGAAACTCCAGGGTTTGCTGGTTGAAACAGACTGACAGGGAAAGAATTACAGTATTCTCATCGAGCATTCATATTACAGGGGGAGAAATCCCAGGGAGTGCCACACCCCTTCATGTCAACCTGTGGAGAAAACAGTCTCTAGCTGGTTGAGGGAGACACCATTCCAAATGGTAGTTCTACATGAGTGGATTTGCCCCCACAACATACCAGCAATATCTGAAAGGGAAAGATGAAAGGAGATAATAATCCAACAACTACTTTTCTCCGGATGCACCTGGTGCTGAGCCTTCTGTCCGTGAAAAGCAGTGGCAGGCATCTTCAGGAAGGAGTCTGCAGCCTTTGGAAATAACCAGAATAACTGCTAACTTTTCTGTGAGCTGGGTGCTGGGCTGTGGACTTCACAATGACCCAATGAATGAGGTAGGCACTGCTGTCCCCATTCCACAGATGAGGGAACTGGGGCACAGAGAGGTTAAGTCACCTGCTGGAGGTTGCACAGCTAGGTCTGAACCCCACCCTGTCGAAAATGTAAGACCCGGGCTCCTAAACTCGGGGCCTGGGCAGGTCTTGTTGCAAGTGAGTTGTTTCTGTCCCGGTCACAACAGGTTAATGAACTGGCTGGAGAAAAAAAGCCAAGCCAAGGAGCTTCCAGCCCTGGGGGCCGGGGAAATTTAGAGGCCAAGAGCTTGGCAGCCCTTCTTGGTTTTTTTAATTCTAAGCCTCTCAAGGTAAAAAGATGGCGTATTGATTGATGATGTTCCAAGGTGAGCCCCAGAGACCTTCAGCACAGAACCGCAGCAAACACCACTGTGGCCATCTGTTGCTTCTCTGGCTCAGCTCCCTTTGTGCTGGGTGACTGGTCCTCCCTCATGCCACTCTTGCTTCTGGAGAGACTGTCAATCACAGATTTCCCGCCCCCCTGACCGGTACATCCACAGGAGTGAGCAGGGCCAATCTGAGCCCTCTGTGGCATTGAAATGATCAGTGTCCCGCCCGGCCTTAGAGACGGTGAGCCCTGAGGTTGTAGGCTACAGGATGCTGGCAGCCAGCCACTTCCCACCAGACAGAGGAGAGGACTAGGCCGGTTTGCAAAGAGATGCAGAGCCAAGAGGCCTGGGTGAAGCAGAGAGGGAGAGAGGGGGAGCTCTGAAAGGGAGAACTGAGAGGGTCTGAGGCCCCTCGCTCCTCCTGCAAAAGCTGGACTGTGATGGCAGACCTTCGTCTCTTGAATCAGCTGATCCAGGTTCCAGTTATCAAAACCCATTTCTAATCCCACGCCAAGGAAAGGCCTCTCTCTCCTCCACTGGGTTCTAGGCTTACCCTGTAGGTGTGCAGGGAATGCTAGGACAGCTTGCCCCAAAATGCTTCCTGGATAGCACGTAGACTTTAGGGGCAAGCTCAAAACTCGTCCAAAGATAGTAAGGCAGTTCGAAAATAGCTCTCAGCCATAAGTGCCTGGTCACATGGCAGCGATTCGCTTTGAGAACGTCTCCAGTCTCCCTCCCTGCCTCACCCCCTCACACATGGGCACACACGCCCTGAGGCAGGATGCAGGTTTGGCTTTTGTTCCTATACCTGAGAAGCAAAGGAAAACTAGAGAGGTGGGCGAACGAAGGATGTCTCCTCCCCTGGGCTCCAGGTTTGGGACTGAGGTTGAGGTGGTGCTGGAGTAAGCTTGCCCTTCTTGCCCCATTGTGCCCTGTCTGCAGGGAGACCCGTCCCCGCGGTTATAAATCCACCCCTTGGGCAAGGCCCAGGGACCTTACACCCCAACTGTACGCAAGGTTACCAGATAAAGGTAACGCTGGGCCTCTGGGCCCCAGACAAGCCCGGCTCCCTGCCAAGCCCCATCAGTGAGGCCTCTCCCAGGCAGGCAGGGCAAGTGAGTGACGAGGGGTGGGGTTGGTGGGGATTGGTGTGGCCCAGCCAGGATGACAACTGTGTTTGTTGTCTTTATGTGTCAATAGTGGGCCTGTTTTGCCAACACTCCCAAATGCCTAAGGGAAGCCAGAAATTCTGATTTCTGGGTGAAATGCCCTAATTTTAAATCACTCTGTAGGCAAAAACCAAAAACACTAAAGGCTGGCCAGATCAGACTGCAGGCTGCCACTTGGTGACTTCTGACCTGTGTCTTTTCAGAGGACCAGGAAAAGAAAAGAGAAACGGCCTCAGGCCCCAAGGATATATAAAACTCTCCCATGTGGGAACCCAGGGAGTTTGTCAATATTAGAGCTGGTCCCAGGAGTCAGATCTGAACCCAGGGCAGACACAGCAGTCACAGCCTCCATCCCACAGGGGGTCCTGGTGCCAGGCTGAGAATCTGGATCCAACCATACATGAAGTAAGCCCTCCTGGGTGGGCCCGTTACATGTGCCCACGAGTGGTTACCCTCGTATATGGGTCTCCATAACTTATAACCAAAAGAGTCCCAATTAAAGAGCTCCCAGGAGAGAAATCAACAGCCTGAAACTTAGCAGAAACCCTGCTCCTTCCCGTCCTCTTTGAGCAGGAGCTGGGCAGGAGGAGAGCCTCCCAGCTAAGCGCTAGAAAAGTACAATAGGTTTCAAGTCCAGAGTGGGCTGCTCCGCAATGCCTGTTTCTCATATAACTGTACCTGTCTTGGGACATAGGGCATCGCCAGGGAACCAGATGCTGTGATGAACATCCGTCTTTTCTGCCTGCCCAGTATTCTTTCTCCCTTCTTCTTGGGAGACCCCAATATTCTTAGAGGCCCCTTGTGCTTTCTAGGCCAGGCGATGGACTCCAGGGACAAACATGTGGTCCAGCTGGCCAGTCCCTGTACCCGCTCCCCACACGGTGATTAGTCCAGAGTGGACAATCAGTGTTCTCCATTTCTCCGGTAACTGGGATTGGTTCAGGGACCAGCATGGCCCAGGCAGGCTGATTAGAGGAACTTTGGGAGAAGGAAGTTCTCTTCTGGAGCTGAGCTGGGAGGAAAGAAGGAGGGAGCCCTGTGGCCATGGGGAAGGCACCCGAGAAGGAGGCCGTCCCAAGGCAAGCAGAGGCAGACGTAAAGGGCGGGCTGAGCCTCATGACATCCCTGAGCCGCCAGAACAGGCAGGTTTGAAGGTGGCACCCTCTCTCCTTGGCTTGTCGTTACACAAAGCACAAAGGAGATGGTTCTGACCTAGAGGCTCCCACCACCCTCAGGCCACAGGCTGAATCATTGCTGTCAGCTCGACATCCCAACTTTGGCAGCATCCAGACCACACGGTCCCGGGTCGCGCGGCAAGCTGGCTTCTGGTGGTACACTTGAGGCGAGTAGGCTGCCCCTGGCTATCTGGAGACCAGGGAGCTGCTGTGGGACTGGCTGGAGGAAGAGGAAGAGGTGGCAGCGCTGAGCTGGGAGAAGCGGCTGGTGCAGGATTCCAGGCTGGACATGGAGCCCCTGGGGAGGAAAGGCACAGCATGAGTATTACCTCCTGGTGGAGGGTCAGGTGGGAGCCCTGAAACAATGATGCTGCCAATGAGGCAGTTTAGACATAGCGGCCAATTTCTCACACTGAGGTGCCGGGCCACTGGGAATGTTTAAGGGTACCTGGGGCTCACTGCGGAGGAAAAGCTGGTGATGCTGCCAGTGAGTCTCCAGGCCTCTTCCCACAGGCACAGAGGGAAAGCCAGTGAGGCCAAGATGAGAAATGAAGCTCCACCTGTGCCCCCAGCAGAGCCCAACCTGCCACAAACCATTGAGGGGTTTCCCTGAACAGGGAACCTAGCAGAGCCCAGAGGGCGTCCCACAGCCTGAGTACCCAGCCCATCTCCAGCCTCACCCCCCACCTCCTTTCATCTCCTCTCCTCGGACACCCGCCTCCCTGACTTGGGAAATTTGCATGTCAGTGCCTCCTGCCAAAAGCCTTTCTCTCCTGCCCACTTTGTCTAGTTAACGCCCACTCCAAACTTCAGAGCAGAGTTGAACCGTCCAGAACTTTCTGTGATGATGGACATCACAGCCACCATTGGCCACGTAGGGATACTGGGCACTGAGGAACTGATTTTTAAAAATATATATTTTTAGTGCCTTGACCGGTTTGGCTCAGTGGATAGAGTGTCAGCCTGCGGACTGAAGGATCCTGGGTTCGAGCCCGATCAAGGGCACAAGCCCGGATTGTGGGCTCAATCCCTAGTAGGAGGCATGCAAGAGGCAGCCAATCGGATTAATGGTTCTCTCTCATCATTATTTGCCTCTCTCCCTCTCCCCTCCTTTCTGAAATCAATAAAAAGAGAGCTCCCTGGTGCCATCTAGTGGAGGGGGAGTGTAAACAATGGGGCTCACCAGCACCTCCAATCAGATCTGAGAGCTCCTGTGGTTCCCCAACCTCTATGGTCTCTCTCCCTCTCTTTTGTTGCACAGAAGCTGCTCAGTCAGCCCTCAGGTGTCTCTCAGGAGGATTTGCTCTAAGTGCAGGTGATTTTCCAATGTGTTCATAGGAGGTGGTGAGTTCCGCCTCGAATGCATTATTTTTAGACAGAAACTAGCAGGCACTTCATGAAGCAGAATGCAAAATCACACACATTTTTAAAAGATATAATGCAGGGCCTAAAAAAGCCACCTGCTCCACCTCCTCTGCTTTTTTTCCTGTTGTTGAGAGCTTACTGAGTGCACAGGGGAAGGAAGGCAGGCTTCCTCCACCACTTCATCTCATGGCAACCCACAACGTTGGGGTTCCAGTTTGAGGCTGAGAGAGGTGAAGTGACTCTCCCAAGGTCACACAGCAACCGGGAAGTGCTGGAGGTCTGAACCGTTATGTTTCCCTGTCCCTTTTGAGGGATCCCTTGGTAAGAGTTGTCTGTGAGGCACTATTGTAGACTGTTCTAGAACAGCCCAAGCCCTGTTTTATGAGATTCTAGATGTGAGGGGAGGTCCAAACAGCAAGACCCAGGCTCCCCCCACCAGTCAATCTGGTCTGTTGGGCTTCTGTCCAGGGTTTTGTTTGAGGGGAAGGTTCTGCATCTGAGGCAGTTTAGACATAGCGGCCAATTTCTCACACGGAGGTGCTGGGCTACTGGGAATGTTTAACGGTACCAGTGCCCCACCCTGGAGAAGCTGAGAGGCAAACAGGGGAGGTGAATGCAATGCCCCAAGCCTGGCCTAGAGGGGAGTTGGGGGCCCTTCCAGCCCAGGAGCTGAATCCCAGCCCCTCCTACCTGAAGTCCTCAGACGCCAGCACCTCATAGTAGTAGAGGAGTTTGCACCTGGGGCCAGGGCTGTGCAGGGCCGTCAGGGCGTCCTCCGTCACATTGCCAGGGGGGTCGTGCACTTGCCACCGGAGCAGATAGATGCCGGGCCACCGGGTCACGTGGGAGCCCTGAAACAGCAGTCGCGCCTGATGCTCTGGTCCTCCTGGGGACACAGCCCCCTTCTCAACCTGCCCACCAGCTGTCCTGTCCCTAAGCGCTTCCCAAAGCCATCCTTTCTCCCCTGCACTGTCACCCCCAGGTCCCTGGCACCTGAGAGTCTCCTCTGAACCTGGGGCAGGGGGCCCAGGACTGGGAGTGGGGCTGCAGGACAGCAGAGGTGTAGCCTGGTTAACTGCCTGGATTTTGTTGGGCTTTCGTTCTGGTGAGTGGGCTTTGCACACTGAGGAGTTCTGGAGAGGGACCTGGGAGGGAGCCGCACAGGTGGGGAGAGCTCATTGGGAACCAAGAGAGATCACGAAAGAGGGGCGTTCGCTGTTATGAGAAGAGCAACTTCTTCCAGGAAGGGCATGGGTGTTCGGTGGGTGCCTGGGGGTGGCTGGTGTGGTAGACTACCCATGGAACCTTCAGGAAGTTCTGCATTGCTCACAGGTGCTTGTGTGTGTATGTGTGTGCATATATGTGTGAGTGCGTGTGTGTGCATGTGTATGTGAGTGCATGTATGTGTGTGGAGGTGAGTGTGTGTTTGGGGGCCTATGATGTTTGACCTGCAAACACTGGCTCATGTTCGGTGCCAGGTCCGTGTTCTGTTCGCAGACCTCCAGCTAATGTGCTGTGCTGGTTCTGGAACTTGACTGTGAGTCAGCGGTCACCAGGAGAGGGCGAGGAGTGCAGAACGCAAACCCCACACCCTCAGGTTCTGAGTCACCCTGCCAGGCTTGGAGCCTGGAGTCCCAGGGGATTCTGGGCTGGACTGAGGTCTGGGTCCTGGATCTGCCAGGATCTGTCTTTCTCCCCCACTGTCCCACAGGGTCCCTGAGGCCGAAGACCAGGTCCTGTTTGTCCATGGCCGTGTCCCCGAACCCCAACACACAGTGAACACTCAGTCCTTGCATGATGGTGAATGAATGAATGAATGAATGAATGAATCAAAGAATTCGAACCTGAATGCTCTCCCCTTCCCGGCAGATGAGGGGGGCCTCCACAGGGCTGTAATCTGCACCCAGCGTCTCCCCTTTGTCCATCAGCTGCCCGCTGACCCTGGCCCCAGGCTCCCGGGGGCCCAGCTTGGGTGCCTGCTTAGCGTAGCACAGGCTGAACACCGCATCCCCTCGGAGGATGTCGAAGTCCCAGGTGATGACTGATTCCCCCTCCAGAATCTCCACCGCAACCTGCGTGGGGACAGGCGAGGTCTGAGAACGGGTCCCCCGCTATCTGAAATGCCTGAGAGGTCCACCCTGCCTTGGGGGCTGAGCCACAGCCACTGACTGACAGACAAGAGGGTTCAGGTGGTTAGAGCTTACTGGCAGGGCCACTCTGCTGGGCCCTGCACGTCCAGCCCGCCCCACAGGTGAGGCTGGGATAGACTGTGGCTGAAACAGGCTCTTACCTTCTATTCTTGCCCACATTCGTCATCCTTACTGCCCTCAGCGAATCGCTAGCATGAGAACCCTCTCCTCTGGGAGACCCTGACCTAGAATGACACCCCAACCCAGTGGGTCCTCCCGGGCCAGGGCCCCAGCACCTCATGGGGAGCCCCGCGGAGCACACAGGCCGGCTGGTAGGTCTCCCTCCACTCGTGCAGCTGTTCTGCATGCTCCTGGTCCTCTTCCATCAGATAGAGGGACTTGGGGACCAACCCTCCTTCCGGGACATTACACTGGGGTACAAAGACAAAGGTGGTAGGTTAGGGCCCCGTCAGACTCTGTGACCCCTGAAACCACACTTATAACAGGGATCTATTGGTGAGCTGGGCACTGGGCTTGCTTGACCCCATTTAACCACCTGACTCACAACAAAGCAGTCGGAACTATTATTCTCCCCATTTCACAGAGGAGGAAAACAGAGGCTCAGAGGAGTAAGGCAGCAGGAAGTGGCTGAGCCAGGGCACAAGCTCCTATCAGGCTCTCAGGTGTGTTCTGCCCATATCTCACCCCTGTGGTTGTGAACTGGGGGTAAATTCCTTCAGGTACACTGGTTCCGGGGTCCAGGCCTCTGCGCCATTTGGGTCACACGTCCCTATGGCAAAAGGTCATTCTGACTGTCCTAGCAACCTAGACCTGGAGGGGGAATGCAGGGTGGGTAAGCCTTTGCCTGGCCTGGTCTTTGGACTTCTGGAAACTCTCACTCACTGTGTTAGAAAGAAGCAAGGGAAGGCTGCCCTCCTTCAGGGAGGAGTCGCCTCTCTTTGGGGAAGCTTCTAAACAAGCCCTGCCCCGGCACTCCCGGGTCCCAGAGGCCACACACTGCCCCCCTCCGGCCCCGGCCCGGCAGCCTCACCAGGCACTCCCCCCCAAGGAAGTCGGGGATCACGTCTTTGTCCAGGTAGTCGACGAGGCCTCCCGGGTAATTGCTGCCACTGTAGATGAGGAACTTCTGCCTGGTGTTCTCATTGATGAAGGGGCTGATCTGAAACGGGGGACATGGAGCAAGACGAAGAGTTGTCTCTTATTGAGATGTGATTTGCACACATTAATTAAGCACATTAAAGGGAACGACTCAGTGGCTTTTAGTTCATTCCGTACGCTATGCACCCATCACCTCTACCTAATTCCAAGACGTTTTCATCCCAGCAAAAGGCCACACCACCCCCATTAGCAGTCACTCCCTATCCCCTCTCCCCCAGCCCCTGGGAACCACCAGTCTGCTCCTGTCTCTACAGTTCTGCCTGTTCTGGACATCTTGTATAAATGGCTTGTGCACTCAGAATCCTCAGGGCCTTGAGACGTGCCTGGCACATAGTAGGTGCTTAGTAAAACATTGAGTCTATTTAACTTTAAACTCTTGAATCTCTATCCTGATCAAACCTCTACTTACAGCAGTGCCTCTCAAGCAGTGACTACACATGCGTGTATGTACACACACACACACCCTTGGCACTGGGTAAGATGCTAACTCTGAGTCTGTACAATTTGGAGGGGCCTCAGGACAGTGGTTTTCAACTGCAAGTGACAATCTATTCAGTGGTTGTGAAATCAATATAGTACATTGTGTGAGTATGTGTATGTGTACATGCATGCAAGTGCAGGATTGCAACAAAAAGTATATTTCTTACTATGGATCGTGGGCAAAACGTTTTAATATCCCTGTAGCATAGGGTCCGCAGAACCTGCTCACAGGGAAGCCTGTCCGATTCTGAGTGTGACTCTGGTGTCCACGAAGCAAGACAAAGGTTACACAAAATGTGCTCCATCCGTGCCGTGGAATATTTCAAAGACAAAAAGAAAGGAAGTCCTGAGAAACGCTACACTGTGGATGAGCCTGAAATCATTATGTTGAGTGAGGAATCAGACGCAAGTAACCTCATACTATGTATTTGATCCCGTTTTACATGAAATATCTCGAATACGCAAAGCCACAGAGACACAAAGCAGGTCCGTGGTTGTCAGGAGCCGGGCGAGGAGGGGGGCAGTGACGGCTAACGGTTTCCTCTCCGGGAAGTGAAAACGGTCTAGAATTAGGTAGCGGTGATGGTTGCTCAACTGTGAATACACTAAAAGTCACGGCACTGAGCCCTTCACAGCGGTGAGCTCTATGGTATCTGACTTAGAAGAAAGGACACCGGACAAGCAGGCAGGGCCGCTCACCGAGGGACCCCTCCCATCTCCGGCCCCGTCCCTTACCAGCGTCCAGAGCACGGGGAAGACGCGGGGGGCGCGCACGATGAGCAGCCGGCCCAGCGTCTCAGGGTAGTGGTCCTCGACCACCTCGATCATCCGCAGGAGGGCCTTCACCCCCGGCCGCCACAGGTGCCGCATGTTGAGCCCTTCCAGGTCCACCAGGCAGGTCCAGGAGCTGCAAGACACGAGCCCTCGCTCCACCTCGCCCTGCCACCTCTCTGGGTCCCCAGCACCCCCTGCAGGGACCAGGGATGGACACGCCCAGTGAGGCAGGGCTGGGAGCAGAAGGGATAGGGCCCACAGGACACTCCTGGATCCTGCCACCGCGGTGAGGCCACGTGGCAAAGAGGCTCAGAGTGTGGGCTCGGAGGCTGAGCCCCCAGATTCCAGTGTCACTTTCACCCTTGGAAGCTGTGCGACCTGGCAACTTCCTCCTCATCGGGACCGTGGCTATGACAGCAACAGTCTCAGCTCAAGCAGAGAGACTCTCACTCGGACTAAATGAGACCTATACGTAAAGGGCAGGCACGCAGCACCCACTCAGTAAAAGCCAGTTATTGCTACGGGCTGTGGAAAAGATGCTGATAACCAAACAGAGCTCAAGCACCTCGGTTTGCCACCTGCTGTGTGGCCTTGAACAAGTTTCCTAACCTCTCTGCGCCTCCATTTCATGAGTACGAATTCGTTAGGGAAAATGACACCGTTACCGCTGCCCTAGTCCCTGGAAGCCTCTCCACCCCAGCTTCGTTCCCTTCGCCTGCCAGGCCACCGCCACACCCTGCGACCCTGTCACCTGAGCCATTCCAGAGGGACTCTGCCTCTGGCCGGGACCCTGAGTGACCCACCCCCACCCCCACCCCCAGGAGATGTCCCCTTAGGAAAGCACCGAATGGCAAAGGACGGTGATTTTCATAAAGGTCAGGTCCTGCCTGCTCCTCCTTCCTGGGGTGGAATAAGGATGCCAAGAATCAAGGTGCTGAGGCGAGAACCTGCTACCTATAAGTTCTAGACACGTGTTTGCATCATCTCCTCACAGTTATTGTTTTTGACAATCCATAAAGAACCCCTAGCCAAAACCAGCTTGGCTCAGTGCATAGAGCGTCGGTCTACAGACTGAAAGGTCCCAGGTTCGATTCCGGTCAAGGGCATGTACATTGGTTGTGGGCACATCCCCAGTAGGGGGTTTGCAGGAGGCAGCTGGTTGATGTTTCTCTCTCTCATCAATGTTTCTAGCTCTCTATCCCTCTCCTTTCCTCTCTGTAGAAAAATCAATAAAATATAGTGGTGTTGTTGTTTTTTTTAAAGAACCCCTAGAACTGGTGATACTGGTCCCACTTTACAGAAGGGCAGAGGTTCAGTGCCTTTGGGCTGACGGCGCTGTGAGTACTGGTGTGGGAAACTGGGCTCAGGCACGGAAGTTGGGGAGCCAGACTCAAGGTGGCACTTGGGGGAAAGGGGGGTCCCCCAAAGGCAAAGGCCAGGAGGATGCTTGGCATGAGCTCTGCCACTACCCGCTTAGCAACCTTGGGAGAGCATCCCTGCTCCGAGCCTCCGTTTCCCCCGGTAAAGGACAGGACGGGGCGGGGGGCCCTGCCTCACAGAGTCACTGTGAGGATCAAGCGAGGACACCCCTGTGAAGGGCCATGCTCAGTGAGCCTGGGCCAGCTGTCCTGCTCAGGGGAATGCGTCCCCGGCGGGTCCTTGCCTGATGGGACGGCCAAACTGCCTGGTGTTCCCTTCACATCTCTTCTGTCCTTCCTCGTTGACGGAGAGCACCTGGAGGGCAGAGAAGGCGCTGGCGAGCCTGCCCCTGGCTGCTCACCGCAGGCAGCCCCGGGGGCTCCAGGGAATGGGGACCCGACTCACGTGCTGCAGCAGCGCCTCCTCCCCCACGGCCTTCATCAGGCCCTTGGTGTCCATGTGGCCCAGGCGCAGGATGTACAGGGGGCGGCCATCTGTGCAAAGAGCAGGGGACACAGTGTAGGGAATGCTGGGAATAGGGCAGGTCAACCCCGTGCTGAGACCTCACCCTGCTCAGAGAAGGAGGGCCAGGCTGTGGCTCACCAAGGCCCGTCCCTCCGTCATTTACTAATAAGTCCTATGAGGGGCTAATACCAATTATGGTGAAAGAAACAGCATGTGCTAGAAGCATGGGCTTACACCATAAAGGAAACTGAATGAGGTGCATACAGGAACTCTCTGTATGACCCTAGCTGAAAACCTCAAACTGTCCTAACATTAAAAAGGTTAGTTTAGCCCTAACCAGTTTGGCTCAGTGGATAGAGCGTCAGCCTGCGGACTTAAGGGTCCAAGGTTCGATTCCATTCAAGGGCATCTACCCTGGTTGTGGACACATCCCCAGCAGGGAGTGTGCAGGAGGCAGCTGATGGATGTTTCTCTCTTTTTTTTTCTTATTGATTTCCATCATTCTTTATATATTTTTTAATTGATTTTTTTTTTACAGAGAGGAAGAGAGATGGATAGAGAGTTAGAAACATCGATGAGAGAGAATCATTGATCAGCCACCTCCTGCACACCCTCCACTGGGGATGCGCCCGAAACCAAGTACATGCCCATGACTGGAATCAAACCTGGAACCTTTCAGTCCACAGGCCGACGCTCTATCCACTGAGCCAAACCAGTTTCGGCATGGATGTTTTTCTCTCATCAATGTTTCTAACTCTCTATCCTTCTCCCTTCCTCTCTGTAAAATATCAATAAAATATGGGGGGGGAAATTAAATAAATAAAAGGTTAGTTTAAAAAGGAGGAGATGAGCCATGTAATGAAGGAACGTGGAGAGAATAGATAAAAATCGGCTGCTAGTTTTCTGTCAGCAGAAGCAAAAATAAAAAATTAGAGACAAGAGCAGTCGATTCTTGCTATTCTTGTTAGTTGTTCTATCATCACCTTAAACACTGAAGTATCCAATACAGACCCACTGCTTCCAGGAAAAGCACAGGGTTAGGTTCCTGCCAGCCTCTAGTCATAATATTTTTGTCAACCGATCAATACATATAACCTGTTTTCTGTGTTTCTATTTAAGGACACCTTATTTACTATACTTTGTTGATTCGGTAACATTGAGCTCACGGCCAGCAGCCTGCAATGCAGGTCTGACCTAACTCACACCTTCTCTCGGTAAGGCACGCGATAGCCATGCGTCCTTAGAAACACGAGACAGCACTGCTGCATTCTGCTTGGAGGCCATTGTAAACAGCAAAATCACAACCAAATGCACAAAGACGAGAGAAGGAAAAAAAGGTGGCACAAAGTAGACTGCAAAAAGGATGCTGTGTCCAGCGTGAGCGCTGAGCAGGAAGGCAGAAGACGCCCAGTTCACCCTCAGCCGGGGACTGCAGGGCAGGCACTCTGCACAAGGACCACAAACGCTTCCTGAGTGTTGATTTGGGGGTGATAAATGCAATACAAAGATAACGAGGACCGGCTCACTGAAGGACAAGTCTCAGCCCGCTCTTCGGGAGAGCCGAGCATTTGCTTTGTTCAACATATAGATGACCCTTAAACAACAAGGGTTTGGCTCAATTTATATGCGGATTTTTCCCCCCGATAAATATACTATCAGCCCTCCATATTCCTGGGTATTACATCCAGGGATTGTGCCAACAGCAGCTCCATGCATTGTTCTATACCATTTTATATAAGGAACATGAGCATCTGTGGGTTTCGGTATCCTGCATACACCAAAGGAGGACGGTAGCTAAGTTGTTTTTTGTTTTGTTTTGTTTTTTTAATATATTTTATTGATTTTTTTACAGAGAGGAAGAGAGAGGGATAGGGAGTTAGAAACAACGATGAGAGAGAATCATTGATCAGCTGCCTCTTGTATACCCCCCACTGGGGATGGGCCCGCAACCAAGGTACATGCCCTTGACCGGTCTCGAACCCAGGACCCTTCAGTCTGCAGGCTGACGCTCTATCCACTGAGCCAAACCGGTCCCGGCAGTAGCTAAGTTTTGGGGAGACAAAAATTATACATGGATTTTCAACTGCACAAGAGTGGATCAGTGCCTATGATCCCCACAAAGTTCAAGGGACAACTGTATATGGGTTTTTTATATAAAGGACACTGAAAATCATGCTAGGCACGGGTTTCAATGGCAAATTAATTTTTAAAATCCAAAGAAATGTATAGTAGGTCGAATAATATATCCCCAAAATTCACGACCACCCATAACTTCAGAATGTGGCCTTATTTGGAAGTAGGGTCTCAAGATGAGATCACACTGGGTCATTGTTGACCTTATATCCAACGACTGGGGGTCTTTATAAGAAGAAGCGGCCTGACCAGTGCGGCTCAGGGACCAAGGGATTGCTGGTTCCATTCCTGGTCAGGGCATATGCCCGGGTTTCAGGCTTGATCCCCAGTAAGGGATGTGCAGGAGGCAGCCAATCCATGATGTTCCTCTCTCATCGATGTTTCTATCTCTCCCTCTCCCTTCCTCTCTCTCTAAAAATCAATAGAAGCATATTTTGAAAAAGAAGAGAGGACACAGTGGATACACAGAGAGGAAGGCCATGTGAAGACAGATGCAGAGACTGGAGTGAGGCTGGGCCACCAGAGATCTAAGAGATAAGGAAGAATTCTGCAAAGGGTCAAGGCCTGCTGACACCTTATTTCAGACTTCTGCCTCCAGAACTGGGAAAGAATAAACTCTGTTGTTTTAAGCTAACCCAGTTTGAGGTCATTTGCTACGGCGGCCCCAAGGCACTATTTGCCTCAAGCCCAGCTCTGCCATCTACATGGCTGGGTGGCCATCTCCAAATGCCCAGAAGAGTCCAAAGGAAAAACAAGAAGCCTGGAAAGTGGTATTCACAGTGCATTCAGCAGTGACCAAGGATGCACTTACGTTACATAGGTCAAGGCACGCACCTATGTCCTGGTAGTGCCAGCCCCCCGCATAGAACTCCTCCAGGAGGGCAGGGGGGTGCCAGGTCTGAAGGAGGAGGTCCACCTGGTGCTGCTTTCGCCAGCTCAAGGACTGGCACAGCATCTCCCGGGCCTTGTCCAGGTGGAAGTCACGAGCCCGCAGGAACCGAAGGATGTGCTGGTCTTTGGGAATCTGTGAGAAGGAGGAGCAACCCAGAGAATGGTGTTCCCTATCCCAGTAGACAGGATTATGGGAAATGAATCTCCTGTCTCCTCGGAAAATATTTAGCTGGGAAAGGGCCATGTGCACCCACGTGCATCCGCAAGCCAAGGGTTGCTATCAGTTCCCAGAAGCCAGGATCTCCCCCAGAGCTTCCTGAAGGAACCCACCTGCTCTCACCTTGATCTCAGATGGATGGCTGAGAACTGGGAATGAATACATTTCTGTTGTTGTAAGCCACCCAAACTATGGCATTTTATTTCAGCAGTCCCAGAAAATAAACACACTCCTCTTAACAGGGTGTTATATGAGCCGATAATACCTCCCCCATTCCCAGCCCCCTTTTTTTTTGCCTTGTTCAGGCTGTATTCCTGCCACATATAACCCAAAGAGTCTAACTAATAGCTGAGGGGATAAGTTAAGACCCACCAGCTCTCTTTCCTTCCTTCCCTCTGGCAAATATCAACAATCAAGGGAAGGGCAGCGCCAACCAAAAGCACCCTTTGGTGAGTTCTCATTCTGAACCAGACTTGGCTCTAAGCACTTTACGTGGATTCCCTTTAACTCACTATGGGAGGCGAATACTAACCTTATCCCCATTCTACATTACAGCCCAGTACTAACTCCCTTGTCTGCCTCCTGAAGTGGGGAGGAAGGGCCATCAACTTATGACTAAGCAGGAAGTTCCAACTCAACAGAGTTGAAGGGACCAAAATGCATATTGGACCTTCTTGTGATGGGGCTTAGCGTCTCAAGGCAAAATCCGCACTCAGTCAAATATCAACCCTCGCAAGTCAGTAAATCTCTTTTAAAAAGAATAGCGTGCTTGGTTTTGTGAACAGCAGTGGTTGTCAGTTGGAGGTGACAGTGCTCTACAGGGGACATCTGGTGCCATCTGGAGCCATTTTTGGTTGTGACAACGTGGGGAGAAGAGCTCATGGCATCTAATGGGTGGGAGTCAAGGATGCTGCTCAAAGCCCTGCAGTTCACAACACAACCCCCACCATAAGGAATTGTCTGGTCTTGACCTGCCCCGTTTGGCTCAGTGGATAGAGCATCGGCCTGTGGACTGAAGGTTCCCGGGTTCGATTCTGGTCAAGGGCACATACCTTGGTTGTGGGCTCCTCCCCAGCCAGGGCCCTGGTCAGGGGTATGCAGGAGGCAACCAATCAATGTGTCTCTCTCACATTGATATTTCTCTCTCTCTATCCTTCTCAATTCCACTCTCTCTAAAATATCAATGGAAAATACCCTCGGGTGAGGATAAAAAATAAAAAAAAAGAAGAAGAAGAAAAAAAAAGGATTGGCCTTAATGTGAGCAGTGCCTAGTCAGTAATAACGGGAGCATGTTTTACAGTCACATGAAACCATATGTAATGAAAAGAAGGCAAAGTCTAAGTACCCAGCATTACCAATGGCACAAGCTGGTTTCCCTGGCCCTTCCTCCCCAGGGCCTAGGCTGGGCCGCTAATACCGAGCATGTGCCAGCTCCAGCAGGCCCCGCCCTGCACTTGCCTTGCCTTTGTGTGTCTCCTGCAGCCAGTGCCGGAGCTGAATCAGGCAGCTCTCCTGCATGGGCGTGAGATGGCCCAGGCACCTCTCGATGTAGTCGGCGTCCAGCTTGTCCCCTGCCAGAGAAGAAGGGGGCTTCAGACAAGAGGGAGATGCTGTGTCTCCTCCCCGCCTTGTCTGCCCTTTCTGGAGCCCATGCCTGACTGGCCACCTTGGATCTGAAATGTCGTTCCAAGCCACACAGAAGCCCTTTCCCCAGACGACAGCCACCAGGGCTCCAGGTCCTCTAGGCTTTCCAATCCATCTCCAGGCGGTTCTGGAAACTCATGCCGGGCCAAGCCTGGATCTCACAGTCGCAAGTGATATGTCCCCTTTGACCTTCAGAAATGGAAATAATCCCTGTCTTCTGCAGCTGTCCCGCCCTCTGAATATTTTTTTCCATCGTCCTCCATCCCTTCCCCTTTGGCAAGCATCAGCTTGTTCTCTATATCTATGGGTCTGTTTCTATTTTGTTTTGTTTTCTTTCTGATTCTTTTTCTTTTTTTAGATTCCACATATAAGTGAAATAACATTTGTCTTTTTCTGTCTGACTTATTTCACTTGGTATAATACCCTCTAGTTCTATCCATGTTGTTGCAATTGGCAAGATTTCATTCTTTTTTATTGCTGAATAATATTCTATGGTATATATGTACCCATCTTCTTTATCTACTTGTCTATGAATAGACACTTAGTTTGCTTCCATATCTTGGCTAGTCATGCTGCAATGAGCATGGGGGTACATATATCGTTTAGTGTTAATGGTTTTTTTCCCTTCAGATAAATACCCAGAAGTGGAATTGCTGGATCATATGGCTACTCTATTTTTAACTTTTTGAGGAACCTCCATACTGCTTTCCACAGTGGCTGCACCAATCTGCATTCCCACCAACAGTGCACAAGAAATGGTTCCCTTTTCTCCACATCTTCACCAACACTAGTTGGTAAAGCTGCAGGCTGGGCTGAGGGACACCCCCCCATGCACAAATTTCATGCACCAGGCTTCTAGTAGTTTGATTTCAGGGAGCATGATATCTCCCATTTTGTTCTCTTTCAAAATTTATTTGGCTATTTGTGGTCTTTTGTGGCTCAGTATACATTTTAAGATTAATTATTCTAATTCAGAGAAGAATGCCGATAGATATTTTAATAGGGATTGCATTGTATCTGTATATTACTTTAGATAGTAAGGACATTTTAACAATATTAATCCTTCCAGTCCATGAGCAAGGTGTATCCTTCACTTTTCTGTATTTCCTGCTTCTTTCTTCAGTGTCTTATAGTTTTCTGAGAGATAACAGGTATTTCACCTCGTTGGTTAAATTTATTCCTAGGTATTTCTGCTTTTTGATGCAATTGTAAATGGGGTTGTTTTCTTAATTTCTCCTTCTAACTTTTTGTTATTGGAGTAACAATTATTAGTAATATGCATCGTCTCTGTGAGTTCTCCCTACACCCCCGTGAGACAGGCATCACCAGTTTTCCACTTCAGAGAAAACAAAACTGAGCCTGAGAGAGGCTCAGTACACTCAAATGAGTGAATGCATGCAGAGTGCCCAGCATAACAGGTGGCTAATAAATGCCAGTTCCTTTGCCTCTCCACCGCCCCAGGCCCTGAGAGGTTTTTTTTGTTTGTTTGTGTTTTGTGTTTGTTTGTTTGTTTGTTTGTTTTTTGAGGGGGGGGTAACTGACCCCAGAATACAGTCCATAACTGCACAGATCATTTCCACTGTTCAGTCCCATCTCCCACAATTGGGCTGTTCAGGGTCAGCGTGTGCTGGCATTTAGAGGCCTGGCTGTACCCGGAGGTCCATGGCCCACCCTCAGCTGTTAAGGTGGCAGGTGCCGGCATGGTGAGGCATCTCGTGCATTCGCCTCTCTGCAGTGGGTGAGACACTCTGCAGAGAGCAGCCCTGTGGGCATAACTCTTTTTGTGTGCAGATGGCAGTGTCTGCACACCCAGCAGCAGGAGCCAGGGTTCCTTCCAAAACAAAGGCCAGGGCTGGGGGTCAGGCCATCTGCTCTAGAAGGCATCTGGGTAACTAGAGGCAAGAGAAAAGCTGGGGCGGGGAGTACTGTCCAGACCCACGGAGAGATCAGAGGCAGAGGTGTTGGAGGCGGGTAGGGGAATCTAAGAGGGGGCGGGGCAAGGAAGGGTTGAGGGAGAAAACACAAGGGAGGCAGGAGATACCAGCATCCCTCCAGCCCTCAGGCAGCTGTGAAGGCCCCTTTCACCCGCACACAAAGGCTCAGTGATCCGGAGCAGGGTGGAAGGAGCACGCCGTGCCTTCCACCAGCCATCCTGCGTGCCAGCCCCACTGTGGACAGCCCAGACGGAGAAGGAAGGAACAGGCTATGTGAAACAGGAGGGCACGGGGCATGGCCTGCAGAATGTACGCACAGGAAGGGGCAGAAATGCATCATTGTAAAAAAAAAAGTTTTAAAAAATATTATTAAAATGTTTGTATGCCCTGGCCAGTTTCTCAATCGTTAGAGTGTCAGCCCATTCATCAAAGGGCTGTGGGTTTGATCCCCAGACCCAGTTGGGGTGCATGCAGGAGGCAACCAGTCCATGTGTCTCTTTCACATCAATGTTTCTCTCTCTCTCTCTCTCTCTCTCTCTCTCTCTCTCTCTCTCTCTCTCTCTCTCTCTCTCCCCCTTCCCCCCAGTTCCACTCTCTAAAAATCAATGGAAAAAGTATCCTCAGGTGAGGATTGACAATATATATACACACACACACACACACACACACTGAGTGGCCAGATTATTATGCTCTCTGAACACATAATAATCTGGTCACACTCAGATATAGATAGATAGATAGATAGATAGATAGATAGATAGATAGATAGATAGATATATAGATATATAGATATATATATAGCCTGGTGCATGAATTTGTGCATGGGTGGGGTCTGGCCAGCCTGGCCAGGGGGAGGGGACATGGGCAGTTGGCCTGCCTGCCTGCTGGTTGAACTCCTGATCGAGGGGACAATTTGCGTATTAGCCTTTTATTCTATAGGATATACACTGAGTGGCCAGATTATTATGCGTTCAGAGATCATAATAATCTGGCCACTCAGTGTATATACACACACATACACACACACACACACACACACAACACACACACACACACCACAATGGAGCCAGCTAGTGCACACAGTTGGTGCAGAATAAACATTTGTTAAACAGGTGAATTTTGTTCTTCCTAAACACAACCCTGGTGTGTGTTTGATTACACAGTGTTTCTCTAAGTCAGGCCAGCCCTATAGTCCTATGTGCCCAGTAGACTCTGAAATGTTGAGAGAACAGGTACATGTGGTTAAAACTGGATTCAGGGGGATGTGCAGTTTTGTATCCCAGGTTCTCTTCCTTTAACATCATATTGTGAACATTTCCCATGTCAATCTGAGTCTGAAATATGACAAAAGGCTAATTGCCTTAATATGCAAAGAGCTCTCACCAAGTAGTAAAAAATTAACAGACAAATAGGAAAGTACAAGAACAGGGATTCACAACAAAGTTAAATAGTGTCACTAAACATGAAAAAATAATACTTGGCCTCACTCATAGGAAAGAGGTGATCACTAACCGACCAGTGGTCACTTTTTGCCTTTAAGTTTAAAAATCTCTCTCTATAAAAACCTAAGTGACTGAACTACCGATGGGGGGCCCAGCTGGCCAACCTCCCGCAGTCCCTCCCCCTGACTGGCCAGCCAACCTCCCAGTCCCTCCTCCTGGCTGGCTGTCCCCCCAGTTCCCGATCAACCCCGATCACCAGCCAGGCCGAAGGACCCCACCCATGCGTGAAGTCATGCACAGGCCTCTGGTGTTTAATAATTGTCCTGCGGGAGCCACAGTGAAGCCAGGAGTAAACACAGCTACACACTTTTGGTGGAACATTGCCTAATACAACCTCTGTGCAGGCCTAATTGGTAAATCAACCAAAATTTTAGTTGCACATAACCTCGGCTCATCAATTCAACCTTTTGGTTATATGCTGTGTAGATATTCATGCAAATATTTTTAAAAACATTTTTGTATTTTTAAAAAAGAGAAACAACCTAAATATCCATCAGTAGGGTACTAGCCAAATAAACTAGAAATAATTAATAAATGTTTATTAATAAGTAAGTTGTGGTGTAACCACACCATGAAATACTACAAAGTGCTCAAATACCTGTACTGATATGGAAAGTTGTTCAAGAAACATGCTAAGTGAAAAACACAAAGTATCAAATAGAATGTATGCTATGCTCTCCTCTGTTCAGCATAGGTTATACATGTATGTATGTATATGTGTACATATTATGCATGTATAGATGCCTAGATAGTTTCACAAACACAAAACTATTGTTGCCTCCGAGGAGAGCAAAGGAGTCCTACTTCCTGCTTGGATTTTTTTCTCACCGTGATTATGCATTACTCATATAATCCAAAATAGTGACCAAACCAGAGAAAAGGGGAATCTGAAGGCACCAGATCAAGTCAACTCCTGATCGAGAAATAAGCCAGTTCTGGCTTTTGGGATGGAAGAGAGAGGGGGCAAAGCAGCTGTTGAGAGGGAGGAGGCTGTCATTCCAGGACCAGGCCCATCCCCGAGGGGACCCATGGCAATTCTCCCCCCACAGAATGAGCAGACATCCTGCAACGTCAGGCCTCAGCCACAGACACCTTACCTTCTGCACCAACCACCTCTTCAGCGGGGCCCTGGGCGCTTCCGGGCCCGTGGACGTCCAGGGAGCCGGGATCGCCCAGCACAGCCTGGGAGCAGGCGTCCTCCTCTCGGACCGAGGCCGGTGTCCACCGGGGAATGTGAGAGATGCCCTGGGAGAGGAGCTCGTTCAGGTAATGTTCAATCACCTCCTTCCCCTGGGAGCCAGAGAGAAGCAAGACACGTCAGCACCGGGGCAGGACAGCGGGTGACCAACGTCATTCTGGGAGTCACCCCGCCTGGCTCTGGCCCCAGCCCTGACACGTGGCTACTAAGCAGTGGAATGTGGCCAAGCCAAATGGAGATGTTTGGGAATGTTAAATACACACCGGATTTGCGAGATTTGGTACCAAAGAATGTAAAATAGTTCCCAAGGAAGTTTTATATTGATAACCCACTGGACAAAATATATTATTAAAACGATTTTATCTGTTTCATTACACTGAAGGCCTCTACTCAGTGAAGTGTCTCAGATCTTTAAACCAAGCAGGGACCCTTTAAACCAGGAAAAAGCATCGTACAATGTCCCTTCTGTGTCCACAGAGCTTACACACAAGCCTGGGAGCCATCAGGATTGTGGTGCCCCCATTAAGGCTTGCTGTCCATCCATCATCTCCTGTAATATGGCCAGTGTTAGAATACCCATTCTACAGATGAGGAAGGCTAAGGCTCTTGCGTGATGTCACAGGAGTTGTCAAGTAGCAGAGCGGGTTTTGAACCAGGACTGGCAACCCGCAAGGTCTGTGCACTTTTCTCCCTGTGCCTGAGGGAGCCTCTCTCTTACCCTCTTGACGTTGGCTGTGTACTGCTTCATGGCAATCTTCTCCAAGGCACTTTCAAAGCCAAAGAAGGACCGGATGTCGAGCGAGGCAGATTGCTCAAAGCAAGTCCACTCTTCATTCTCAGGGTGGACCTGAAAGCAGGCACCATCGTTAACCCCATTTTACAGGTGGAGAAATAAGGCAGTTTCCTGAGGCAGGAAAGGAACGAGAGAAGAATGGAGGGCGGAGAAAAGTTGCCCGGTTTAGCCAATTAAAAGTGGGGATGCCCAGTCACATTTGAATTTAAGACAAACAGCAAATACTATTTTAGTAAGTATGTCTCACACAATATTTTAAACTACCTAAACTAAAAATAAAAAAATAAAAAAAATAAAAAGTATGGGCTGAGTATCTGAACTACGGATGTAGGGAGCGCCTGCATCTGATCGCACAAGGCCCTGGGGGAGAGGGAGGGGCAGCGGGGGCGGGTGGCCCGGCGCTCACCGTGTAGCTGCAGTTCTCACGGACCACCACGCGGCTGGCGAAGGTCTCGTTGTGCGCCTCGATGCGGAGGGTCCTCTCCTTCCAGTTCAAGACGTTCCTCTGCACGAAGACCACGTGCTCCACACCCGCGATCTGCAGGAGACACCAGGTGCGCAGGGGGTGAGGAGTGAGGGGTGGGGGCACGAACCCGAGGGCTAAAGTGCTATCGAATGGGCACTGGCCAGGTACCTCGATTGGTTAGGCATCATCCAGATAAACCGAGGTGACCTGGGAACCCGCCCCCCACCCATGCCCCACGCCTGCCCACCGCCTGGGCGGAGTCCCCGCCTTCCTCTCCCCAGCCCTCCATCCCCGGACCCCTGCTCTCCCCCACCCCCATCCCCCGTCAGTCCCAGCCCAGCCTCCTGGCCCTGGTCCCTTCAGATCCAGCGCTCCAGCGGGCCCTCCGACCCAGACCCACCGCTGGAACCCCTCTTTCCAGCACCAACACTCACACTGGCCCCGCCGCGTGGCCCCGCCCCGGCTCCCAGCGGTCACCCACCCCCCTGTCCCACCGCCCCCGCTGCCCCGGGCTCCCACCTTCCGCAGCAGCCGCGGGGCCTCCACGCGCAGCCGGCAGCTCCGCTCCACCACGTGCACCGCGCCATCGGCGCTGCGGGACTCGAACACCACCTCGCTGCCCAGGAAGACCGGGATCTGCGGGCAGGTGGGGAAGCGCTTCTCGTAGGCCTAGGGGGGGAGAGGGCAGGGAGTGCCAGGGGGTGGCCGAGGCCCGCGGGGCACGGCCCTGCTCCTGCCCCGGCTGGAAGGTCTCTCCTTGCGGCTGCGGAGAGGGAGAACATCCCCGGGGAGCGCGTGGCCACTGCTGTTTTACCAACAGGACCAGCGTTTGTCTGCGCAGCCGCCTGGCAGGTAGCTTTTTGGATTCACATTTGAGCTTTGCCCTTAGAAGAAAGAGTGGACTTCCTGGGACATTTTAAAAGAAAGCACCTTTCAGCTGAAACCGGTTTGGCTCAGTGGATAGAGCGTCGGTCTGCGGACTGAAGGGTCCCAGGTTCGATTCCAGTTAAGGGCATGTATATTGGTTTCAGGCACATCCCCAGTAGGGGGTGTGCAGAAGGCAGCTGATTGATGTTTCTCTCTCATTGATGTTTCTGACTCTCTATCCCTATCTCTCTCTGTAAAAAAAAATAAATAAATAAATAAATAATAAATAATAAAAAAATCAATAAAATACGTTAAAAAAAAAGAAAGAAAGCACCTTTCAGAGGGAAAAATGAACAAATTTCAACACTCTTCATGGTAAAAGCTCAACAAGCGAGGCAGAGGGGGACCCCCTCAATCTGATCAAGTGCATCTACAAAAGCCACCGCAGACAAGGCCAGGCTGCCTGCTCCGGCTGCTTCTATTCCGCCTCCAGGAGGTGGAACCAGAGCAGGTAGGCCACTAAAAGAAAGAAAAGGCCTCCAGATTGGAAGGGGAGAGAGTCTGCCCAGTTTGGGAAGTTCCAGAGGCCGAGCAGGTCAGAGCCACTGGGGGGCGTGTGGGCATTCCTGGCTGGCGGCATTCAAGCATGCATTCAAGCAGCGTCTGCTCCCAGCGCCTGTCACAGCCTACATGCCCTGGAATCCGAATCAAAGTGAGCTCCAAATATAGTGCCGGCATCTGAGGACACACATTCCACCCCCATCCCTCCCAGCGGAAGGCGGCACCCACCAGCTCAGATTGGCAGAGACAGGAGGAGGGGGGATGGGCGGATGCCTGGTGCCCTTGGTGTTACCCCAGCCCCACAAGGCCAGGCCAGCCCAGCCCAGCCGTCCTCCGCCGGGGTCAGGAGGACGGGGCTGCCTCCTGCCATCTGTCAAACACACCAGCCACCAGGGTTAGAACAGGAACGCTGGCCCCGGGGGAAAGTGCACCATGGGGCTCCCAGACAGGGGTCTGGACCCTGAGGGCTGGCAGAGGGAGGACCCTGAACACTCTGTTTCAAAGGAAGGCATTTCCCCACTGAGGAGGGAGCCTCATGGCAAAGTGGATGTGAGTTGGGTGGAGTTCTGCCTCCTCCTCCCAGCAGAGAGGCCAGTCCCTTGCTCTAAGTCTGTTTTATTATCTGGAAAATGTGTGCCATGCTTGTCTCCCAGAAGACGAACCCAGGTTGATTAGCTCGTGCAGCCTGGCACATCACAGGCACCCAGCATTTTCCTCCTCCAGACAACAGGGCTCCGATGTTTGCCGGAACAGAACACAGCTCCTCCCCAGCCCTGTCAGAGGGCTCTGCCCGCACAGATGCAGGAGGCAGCCAGGGCAGTCAGCCCCGCCCCAACTCTGTAATGGGCAGACAGGGGCTGGCATGTTTTGAGAGCATAAGGAGGGAAAGGGGTTTATGTTTCAAAATTGGTCAGACTCAGTTGAGTCTCTTCTACTTTCTCCCTGGGTGACCTTGGGCGAGTCTGAGACTCTGTCTCCTCGCCTGCAACGCGAGGACGTTACCAGGTTGTGTCTCCGAGTAGCTGACACTCATCAAGCCTTGACTCTGCTCTTCCGGCTGTGTGTGTTCTTCCACTTAATCACTCACGGCATCCTCCTTTGACTTTGAGGAAATGGGGGCCCAGAGAGGCTGAGTAACCAACCCAAGGTCACACAGTGCAAAATGGTGAACCTGGATCTGAATGCCAGGCTGGCTCAGCGTTCACTCCCACAGGAACCCCTTGCTCAGCAGCAGGGCTTGTTCTCCCAGGAAACCTGGAAACCGAGCCAGGCTCTGTCCCCTGGGGCACATATCCTTTCCCTCCCATCCTTTCAAAACATGCCAGCATCCGTCCGCCCGCTACAGAGGTGAGGCCTCGCCGGCTGCTCTGGCTCCCTCCTGGGTCTGTGCCCGCAGAGCCCTCCGAATGGGCTGGGAAGGAGCTGTGTTCTGTTCTCCCAAACCTGTACTGTCGTCACCATTTCTTTCTCCACCCTCAGTCCTTCAACTCTTGCGAGGCAGTGGCCACACTACTCCTGAGCTTCTCCTCTTCCACTGATTGCTCATCAGTATCTCTCCCGTTCCCCGGACGACAGGACATCCTTAGAACAGGCCACGTGAAGATACAGGCGCTGATCGGGGTGATTCCTCTACACCAGCCCACCTCCCCCACGGCCCCAGCCTCCTTCACTCTGCCCTCGCCACGCCAGCCTCGCTGTTTCCAGAACACACGGTTAATGGATTGAATTGTGCCCCCACCTCCACCAAAGCTCATGTCCTAACTGCCAGGACCTCTGAATGGGAGTTAGGACTTATTTGGAAGCAGGGTTGTGGCAGATATAATTGGTTAAAATGAGGTCATACTGGAGTAGAATGGGCTGCTAATCCCATATGACTGGTGCCCTTATAAAAGGGGAACGTGGACACGGACACACACACAGGGACGCCACGTGAAGATGAAGGCACTGGTCGGAGCGATTCCTCCACACGCCAGAAATGCCAGGGATTACCAGCAACTCGAGAAGCCGAGAGAGAGGCCTGGGACAGCCTGTCCTTCACAGCCTCTGAAGGAGCCCGCTCTGCGATACCTTGATCCCAGACCTCTAGCCTCCAGACTGTGAGATGATGAATGTCTGCTGTTTGAGCCCCCGATTTGTGGTATTTCGCCGTGTCAGCCACAGGAAACAGCTTGTTCCTGCCCAGGGCCTTTGCACTCGCTGTTTCCCCTGCTCGAAACACTGGCAGTTCACTTGGCAGTGAACGGGGACGGGGACGAGTCATTGGGGCTCCCGGGTGTAGGAGACCAGGATAGGGAGTGAGGAGATCCCAGGCTTCTTCGGGGACTTGTCTGTTTCCGGTCCCTCTTCCTGGGGCACCCCACTTCCCCCCGCAAGGCTGCCTCCTTCCCTGTTCATTTACTGGATAGCACTCATGGCACCTTTCAACCACACATGCTACTCACTGGCATATACATGCCAAAGGCCTGGGCTTCGTGCTTTTCAGCACAGGGACCTCACACCCGCATCATCTCAGTTGTTGGCACACACTAGGGGCTCAAAGAAATGCCAACGAGCAAAGAAAGAAAAACATAAACTTCTTACCGAAGTCCCCGATCGCCTGAGAACAACGTCGGTAGGGAATGACCGGCCACACTCAGCGCACGCAGCCAGCGGAGGGCACTAAGCGTCACTGGCTAACTTCCTGTCACAACAAGCCTCTTGGTAGACGAGCCGCATCTGGATCCCTCAGATAACAGTGGGGTGGCATGGGGGCCAATCAGCAGTGGGCAGGCGCTTGGGCACAGCTCACCCTGCCTGAGCAAGGGAAGGCGTGCCCTCTTCAAGGAAACAGAGGCTGCTTCAACCACAGACCTACCAGAAGGTCGTTCGGCTGTCCAGTCTAATTAGCATATTACGCTTTTATTATTATAGATTCCACTTTTGTAAGGTAGCTAGAGTAGTCAGGTTTACAGAGGCAGAGAGCAGAATGGTGGTTACCAGGGGTTAGGGGGGAGGAACAGGGAGCTAGTGTTTAATGGGTACAGAATTTCATAATGGGAAAATGAAAAATGTGTGGAGATGGATAGTGGTGATGGTTGCACAACATTGTGAATGTATTTAATGCCACTGGACTTTAAAATGGTTGAAATGTTGGATTATGTATATATTACCACTATAAAAAATTAAAAATAAATTAAAAAAAAAAAAGTAAATCATCTCCTAGGCCTTGGGGACTCCCAGAGCTCAGGCTCCATCTGGAAGGCAAGGGCCCCGACATAAGGAGCCAGTGCTCCCGTATCAGAGGGCTGTCAGCTGGACTTGAGGTCTCGTGCCTGACACTGTTGTCACCGGCATCATTTCATCCTCACCATGCCCTGGTGAGATGGGAGCCGTTGTTTCCCCATGTTACAGCTGAGCAAGTTGAGGCTTGGGAGGACGTTACACTGTCGCTGGAAGTGGCAGGATTGGAGCCAGGCCCCAGCCCTGAACCACCCTGTCCTGCCTCTAGAACATCACAAGTGTGGGTGGTTTGGAGATGCTGCATCCCACTGACTTAAACCCACAAATCAGGGGCCCTTTGCCTTGGCCACATCACAGGGTGGAAGAGTTCACAGGCCCTAACTCACTCGGCGAGTGTTATCCCTGCCTAAGAGCCTCGGATGCCGACTGCCATCCCCACAGATCAAGCCTGAGCTTCCCCCCTGATGGACAAGCACGTGGTTTAGGCCCCGAGGGGACACGAGGCAGCAGAGGATTGAGTTACAGCCCTTCTGCCAGGCGGCTGGGAAGGGACATCCAAGCCTACCAGCTGAGAAAGGAAGCTGATCCAAGGCCCAGAACCCACTCCTGGGGCCTCAGCTGCGCAGGCAGAGGCTGATGAAAACTTCCATTGAATGTCTCCCATATGCCCCCTCCACATGGACACATGTGAAGGTGGGGGGCGGGGGCTGGAGTTAGAGAGCCCTGGAGTCCTAGCTGAGCTGGATGACTCGAGCACGGAATGTCCCTTCTCCCCTGCAGGCCCATCCATGAGCACCATGGTACCTGTTTCCTTCCTCTGAGTCACAGCACTGAAGCGAGAAGTCATCAGACCCCGGCAGTAGGCTTGCTCACCTCTGAATTCCTCATGCTTTTGTTTGTTTGTTTGTTTGTTTGTTTGTTTTATTTTGTTTTGTTTTTTGTTAATCCTCATTTGAGGATATTTTTCCACTGATTTTTAGGGAGAGTGGGAAAGAGAGGGAAAGTCAAAGAGAAACATCTAT